AGAGCTATTTTATTAAGAGACTATTATATATATTAATTTATCTTTGAAGGAAACATAGCACGCTTTTATTCCTTCAGAAGTATTAAGCTAAGTACAATGGGTATTGTGTAAACCAATCGAATGCATTAGAACGCTACTGCAGCCTAACCTAATGGGATGCGTGATGGTATCAGCAAGGACCCTTAAGACAGTTCCTTGTATACGTCGGGCGTCGCCTATTGGTTAGTTTGTGAACCAATGATAAAATACTTTGACATATATATATAAGTTAATGGTGAGTTTGTGGTCATATTGAAGAACGGATTGGCAACACCTGACGAGTAGTCTACCGGGACTTAATACCGTAAAGAGCCCACTTTGTTGACATATTTTAAAAACACTTAAAGGTAAGGTTTTTTTCTGTACATTTTTAATTCATTTTTTATTTAAAATATCATGTAACAATTACACTAGACATTAGAAATAAATGTTATCAGTATATATTAGTATTAATATTAGTAACATTGAAAACAGTATAATAGTACACATATAGTTTTATAGTTAAAGTTTTTTACAGCTATTTCTTTTATCAGGTACTCGATGGAAATGTCCATTTTTTCTAAAAATTATCTGTTTATTAATTCATTCATTCATTTACTTATTCATATTTAATTGCAACAAAATGATATCGAGCTGTACTATTTTTTTTCTCCATTGCTTGGGGTAGTAATGAATAATGATGTCAAAATAATAGTTGTTATTTCAAAGACTCATTTTTTTCTATTATTTCACATTTAGTTATAGAATCATATAAGCTTAGATTGACGACTGCATATCATCGTAATGACCACCGTTTTTTAACGCATTGTTGGAGAGAAACTAGACGAAGACCAAAATTATGAAATTACTTTTTTTAGAAATTAACTTTTTTATTTAAAATAGGCGTGCAAATATATTACAATGTATATTCTTAATTTCATTCAAGACGTCACTAAATTATGCTGAAATATGGTTGATAAAAATTGTTTCATTTTCATTTTTTAGCATTCACGCATTATCTCAAAATATATGATCAATATATATATATCTATATCAATATTTGAGCTGAGGTTTTACCCTCAAGTTTATTTCGGAAATGTCAATGTTTTTTCCTCTCGTACGCAATTTTGCTACCTTTCTTCCGTCTCATTTAACCTGAGGTTTTGATGTTTCTGCACATTATTTTGGCATCGTCATACGCTTTTGTTTTTCATTATATTCACTAGTGAACCAAGGCTTGTGGTTACTTTCATGGTTTATGATTTTGCGTCATTCTATTTTTACACTAAATACCTTTCTGTGCATAAAACATGAAAAGGGCGGGTAAGCTCCCGTTGGGGAATCCTATACCTTTTTATATGGTGAGCTTTTAGTGAGAGATATAGGGTACCAAACAAAAGTAATACGTAGTAGCTGTTTAATGTTTTGATATTAAAACAGTTACGTTAATCAATTAACTCATATTACTTCTCATCCATATATGTCCTGAATGAGCTCTCTGCATATACAATGTACATGTAACGTGAATTCAACTAAGTTTGCGGTCTAACGACCCTGTTCGTTGGTTAATAACCATGTATTATATATTGGACGGCAGACCATACCCTTGCGTGTATATTTTTTCAATAGGCCATGCACGGGCAAAGCTCTTCCCAAATCAAAAACCTCCCTCACAAATGTAGACAAGCGCGCAAGCGAGACTGGTTTCATTTGTCGAATAAGGGTTCCGGCATTTTTTATGGTATATGTTTGATGATTTGCTAGCGAGTCAGCAAGAAAGTTTCGTTTTTACCTCTATATCTACTTAAAACGTGTCAAGCTCACGGTCAGAATATACCGCTATTCCGTGAGTTCAAGTCGAAGATGACTTGAAAAAGTGTTTGTGAATCTGTCAAATGCTGATTTCATGTGTTCACGAACAATTTCGATAAATTTGAGAATTTGATTGTTTATTTTCGTATAATGCATTACGATAGCGTGAGGGATTGCTACACGTAATTATTGCGAGCTGTTTGATGTGGCCCATGATGTTACACGTCCGACCTCGTTACTTCTGTAAAACCTTACCACAAACACTTAGCTAGCTGACTCCCTATTGGCCTTACATAAGTGTATTTATGAGTGGTGTTTATGACGGTATTTGATGGATACTTAAACTTGATTGTGGAATGACGTAGCAAATACTTCAAACGAAGTGAATGTTATAACAAACGCGCGTCTTTACTGATACTATGATGTTTGAAAGGAAAGTGACGGATTTGTTTTGATTTAAACATAATTTATTGTAATTTATATACAATGGGAGTTGGGAACAAGTTAAATAACTTATATCAAGCCCTTTCACTAACGGATTTGTTAGCAAAAAACAAATCAAAAAATATATATACCAATGATCGCTTAGATCAATGGCATATACAACTGTGTTTGGGTAATCCTTGTAGACTGATCTATATGCATATAATTGCAGTTTTACTATAAATAACAATTTGTTTGTACATTAATGTAAAATCCGGTAGATTGCTGTTATCTATTATCGTGCAATTGCACGTGAATCATCGATCGCTTATCCATTTTAAGAACGTCGCGAGCAATAAGTATACATCAGACATATAGTTATCCTACATAAGACATATAGTTATTATACAAAAGATATATAGTTTCTATACATAAGACATAGTTATTAAACATAAGACACATAGTTATTATACATAAGACACATAGTTATTATACATAAGACATACAGTCACTATACATAAGACACATAGTTATTATACATAAGACATAGTTATTGTACATAAGACACATAGTTTTTATACATAAGACAGTTATTGTACATAAGACATACAGTTACTATACATAAGACATAGTTATTGTACATAAGACACATAACGATTATACATAAGACACATAGTTATTATACATAAGACATACAGTTACTATACATAAGACATAGTTATTGTACATAAGACATATAGTTATTAAACAAAAGATATATGGTTACTACACAT